GCACATGCACCAGTGCACACTCAGGAAGGGCACACAGGACTCCAGCAGGAATGTGAGACATGCAGGCAAGAGCGACAGACAGCCGTCAGCTTCACGCCAACAGGGGCAGGGAGGAGAGCAGCTTTTCTTGGTGACTGAGGCCATGAGGCTCTGGGAGGGGACAGGCAACAGTGAGGGGTCTCAAACACCTTCCCACCCAAATCCCCGAGCCAGCAGGCAGCCCCACACCTTGGGTACCAAGCGAGTCCCCCTCACCCAGGCTGGCTGCCACACCCAAGGCAAGAACTCAGTGGAGCTCAGCGCCAGAAACCATAATGTTCCCTGAAACATCAACAAAGTCAGGGAAGGGTGGCGGGGCTCCCCTGCTCCAGGCGGACACAGTGCTGTGAAGGTGTCATCACCTTTCTCAGCCAGACCAGGGGTGAAGGCTGTTTGGGGGCTGAGATGGGAGAGAGGGGCTCCCCAGAGCTGAAGAAGGAGAAGAGGTGAGGGGCCACAGTGCAGGAAAGAGCCAGCCCCTCAGCCCTGCCTGGCACACCCCAGCCCTCCCCACCACCCAGGCCAGGCATCTGCCTGGACCAGGGGCTTCTCGGAAGACCCCCCACCAGCTGCCAACCTCCCCCCTGGGAGCCCCACTCACCCTGCAGGACATGTTCTGGGCAGACCGTGGGGACAGCACGCTTGCCCTGTGGCATTTGGTGGTGTTTGCAGACTGGGGAGGGAAGGGAGCAACTTCTGCCCACTCAGTGCTCTGCTCCGGGGGATTAGGCGTGGGGGTGGAGCAACTGGGGCTCTGGGGTGGTAGGGCTGCCAGGCAAAACTCTGTATGCGCAGTTAAATAGGGATTTCAGATAACAACAAATAATAATTTAGTATCAGTATGTCCCAAATTATGTGTGGTTTATCTGAAAAGTGCATTTAACTAGGCATCCTGTATTTTGGGGGGCAGCCCTATGAGGACACCCCCTGGAGGTTAGCAGAGCCAATATGGGGGAGAGGTGTAGCAGGTCCCTCCCCACCAGGCTTAAATCACTCATCCATTCATTGTGTTAGGAGCTGGGACTCTGGGCAGACTTCCTGGGTTCAAATCCTCAAATCCTCTCTTAGCTATAAATACTTCCGAGCTTTGAATCCTGGGCCAACTTACTGAACCTCTCTAAATCTCAGATTTCTCACTTGAAAAATGAGGTTAGGGATTTCCCCAGTGGTCCAGTGGCTAAGACTTTGTGCTTCCAATGCAGGGGGTGCAGGTTCGATCCCTGGTCAGGGAACTAGACCCCACATGGCACAGCTAAGAGGTCTCATGGCACAACTAAAGATCCCGCATGCCGCAACTAAGACCTGGTGCAAATAAATAAACATTTTAAAATAAAATACAATGAAGCTAATGGTTACACCTACTTCATATGGTTGTGACATTAAATGAGCTAGTATGTGAAAAGCACTCCCCCTCCACCTCGAGCCTCTCATGTCACATGGGGACAGCTCAGCACCTTCCCCGGGATGGAGAGGATTAAACAGGATCAGGGCTGCTGTGTGCTCAGCACTGCACAGTGCTCCTGTCTCCTCTTTGGCTCAACTCTTCCCTGGCTTCCCAGGAACAGGTTGGGCCAGCAGCCCAGCCCAGGGACAGGGGGCTGGAGCAGGCTGGACCCCGTGCTCTACAAATGACTCCCACTCAACATGGGGGCTGCCTCCCTCCCCCTTCATCTTAGTTCCTCCCAGTATGGCCCTCCAAGCCCTTCCTTTTCCTTGAGCCCCTCTGAGCCTTTGACTCTGAGCCACTCCCTGCCCTGACCTCTTGACCGGATTTGAAAGAAAATCTGTTCTGTTGGACTAAGGGGTGGGGCTTCCCTGGTGGCTCAGTTGATAAAGAATCTACCGCAGTCAAGAGACCACCTATGATGCAGGAGACCCAGGTTTTATCCCTGAGTCATGAAGATACCCTGGAGAAGAAAATGGCGAACCACTCCAATATTCCTGCCCTGGAAATTCCATGGACAGAGGCTCCCAATGGGCTACAGTCCATGATGTCACAAGAGTCGGACACAACTGAGTGACTCAACCACCACCAAGGGGTGTGGCGAAGGTGGTGACCAGGCCTGGCCCTGAGGATCATTCTGGGAGAGGCAGCAGCCACAGGGGTCACATCGAAAGCTATGTGGGTCGTTGACATAGGCCTTGGCCTTGTGGGCCTGAGCAGCTGGGCCCCAGGACACCTGGGTTTCGCTTCCACCCTGTTCCTGGACTCAGCGAGGCCTGGGGAAGGGGCATTCCCCATGGAGTTGACATTCCTCTCTGAGAAGGCAGTCACTCAACAGGATGGTGCAGCAGCCAAGGCGAGGGAGGGTGCCCAGGTGACATCCTGACACCCACATAGTTCCCAACAGTGTCACTGTCCACAGGGTGCCCGGAACTCCCGTGCAGCCTTACTCAGCCACAGGGCACTGAGTCTTGGGCTCAGCGCTAATTACTTGTCTACAAGTGTTTCCTAGACTGTCCTCTCCCCCAGGGCTAGGTATTCTCCATCTCTGAAGCCCCAGTCCTAGCACAACACCCTGGCACCCCGATGTGAAGACACTCAGTCGTGTCCAACTCTTTGCGACCTGCCAGGCTCCTCCATCCAGGGGACTTTTCCAGGTCAGAATACTGGAGTGGGTTGCCATTTCCTTCTTCAGGGGATCTTCCCAACACAGGGATTGAAACTGGGTCTCATGCATTGCAAGCAGACTCCTTAGGATCTGAGCCACGGGGCTTGGCAAATGTGTGCGGAATGAGGAGACAGGCAGGTGGGCAGGATCGTCACCTCGACCCTCCCATGGCAAACGTAACCCTCGAGGGCGGCTGACTCCCGGGACTGCTTCTCAGGCCTAACGCCAGCCCTTGGCTGTCTCCGCAGCACCTCAGCTCCCCATGGGCATCGTCCTCTCCACCACTGCCCTGTAAACCAGAGGACGACGAGAGACATCTCCCAGATCCTGTCAACAGCAGAGCCCAGCTCAGTCCACCTCCCGGTCGTCCTGGAATCCGCTCTGGTTCCACAGCTCACATCTGAGCCTCCCCCCACCACTTTGCCCAACTGACCCCTCAGCCTCCCTCCAGTGCGGCTCCCTGTTTTACCCTTGTGTTCATCCAACCCACCCTTACCCTACACAGTTCCTGCTCTCCTCTTGTCTAAGACCTTTCCTGAGCTCCTGACACCGTCCAGAGAAAGAGGGGCCTCGAGGATCCAGCCTCCCCCTGCCTCTCCCCTTTGGCCTCACTCTAGCCTCCCTCCAGCTCCGGGGTGCAGTCAGGGCTCCCCAGCCTCTTGCTCTATCCTTCAGAGCCTTGTTTCTTGGTTTCGTTGTCTGACACCCTTGCTGGTGCTTCAGCTCTCTGAGGGCCAGGGCTGTGCCTGTCTTGTTTGTTGCTGAATCCCTAGGGCAGAGCATACTACAGGCACTCAATAAATGTTGGTTGAATGCATGTGTGATTGATGAAGCGAAGGGCAGAGAGCACGTCTTCTGTGTTTATAAGGAGAGTGCCAGTCACAGTGATCAGAACACAGAGCTCAACAAATTCAGGTCAAATGAAAGGTGGTAGAAATAAGAACAAAAACAATGGAGGACAGAGAAAGTAAGACCAGAAGGACTGCCCTGGTGGGCCATTGGTTAAGACTCCACACTTCCAATGCAGGGCACATGGGTTCAACTCCTGGTTTGGGAACTAGATCTTACATGCCCTGTGGCTGTAAGAGAAGGTAAGACTGGCAAGTGAGACCTCTGCATTTTACCCCAAGATTCACACAGGTCTTTAGGCAACCCTGTCCTTCTATTCCCTCAGTCTCACCTCTAGCCTCTCCATCATTAACTATTCTACTGACCATAGTTCTCCTACACCACTTCAGTTTTACAGTACTTTACATTGTATAAAATACTCTCAGAGGGATGTCCCTGGTGGTCCAGTGGTAAGACTCTGTAAGACTCTGGCCCCTTTGTAGGGGCCAGGGTTTGATCTCTGGTCAGAGAACTAGATCCCACGTGTCACAACTAAAGATTTCACACGCCACAACTAAAGCGCCTGTGTGCCACAAACTAAGGCTTGGTGCTGCCAAATAAATAATAAGATAAATAAAAATAAATACTAAACAATAATTTTCACACACACACACCCTCATTCAAGCCCTCAACCCCCACTCAGTCCCACTTTGCCCAGATTCTGAGAGGGTACCAGGGGCAGTGTGGGGGTACACGCCAACCTGTGCCCTCTACTAGGTCTATGGTCATGGGCGAATTCCTTACTTTCTCTTCCTCATCTGTGAAATGGTGAATACCTCATCTGTGAATACCACCTACCTCTCAGGAAGGTGAAGAAGACTGACCGGCACCACATCCCTAGCCACCCAGTGCTAGCCTGCATCTAGGAGATGCTTGATAAACCACAATTGCATTCCGTTCCCCCACGACTTCCCTCAAATCTAAGACGGCAACTTTGGCTTTCTGACCCAAAGGTCAGTGTTCTCACCAGTTAGACCAGTTCTACCAGTGCTCTAATCCCAGTGGGGGCTGTAGGGTTGGAAGATCGGAACGAGATGCCAGCCTCTTCTACAACTCTCATGCCCTAAGGGGCCCGAGAATCCAGGATGCTCTGAGCGCTCAAAAACCCTAGAAGGTACAGGGTGTCCGGGAAGGGGTGACGGGCATCCGAAGCCTGTCTCTCCCTTTCTACTCCCCCAACCTTCTCGGACCCCAGTCCGCAGCCCTCGTCCAAACTCCCACTCCATACTCCCAGAAGTCGTCCTGGGAGCCTCGCTCACACCCGGGACCTCGGGTGACCCCAGGTGTGACACTTCACCCCGCCCCCCGCTGGAACTGCGCTGGCCTTCCATCCCTCGCCAAACTCCCCACATCCCTACTGGGAAGCCCACGAACGGCTCGCCGGAACACCCCGATCTTCCCAAGATGCGCCCCCCGGGGCGCGTCCGCGCCCACCCGGAGCCACCCCGGCCGCTCACTGACCCATCTTCTTCAGCGCCCGCAGCCCGGGCCTCTTGGTGCTGGCGTCTTGGGATGCGGGTGGGGACGGGTGCCCTACAGGCGTTGCGACCTGGGCCGGGACCAGGGGCTCCTCGGGCTGCCGCCCGCGGCTCCTCCAACTACCGCACAGCATGGTCGGGGGGCCGGGGCCCGGGTCGGGCCCGGGGTCAGCGCGCGCGGGGCGGAGCGGAGAAACTTAGCGGCGCCGGGAGCGAGTCTGGAGGAGGAGGTGTCGGGAGGAGGGAGAAAGGGAGGGACGAGGATCAAGGAAGGAGGGACCTAGAGGGAGAGGGCGGGGCCGAGAACGGCGCGGGGGCGGCGCGGGGCGGCGGCTAGGGGGGCGGTGACCCTCGGCGGGGAGCGGGGCACTGGTGCACAAGTAGGAAGGCGACCTGGCCCGCGCCCCCGAGTCTCCGCGTTCGCCCTCTGCTCCTGAGTCCTTCTCCCTGTTCTCCGAGCGGTCCTGGGATCCCGGCCCTATGCGGAGCCCCCATGGTGCTGGGGGAGGCTTCGAAGGGGGGCGAGGACTGCCGTCTCGCGAAGACACCCTCTTCCTTCCCCGGACCTGGGCTCAGTGCAGACTCAGGACCCCTTTCACCTCCCCCTCCCCGTCCTGCCCGAGGTCTCAGAAGGGAGCCAGACAGGGAATCGGGTCCGCGGCCGGCTAGTCCTGGGTCTAGGAGCTGAGCAGGGAGGCAGGGAAGCCCGAACCGGAGGGTTAAGGGGGGCGGGAACTGACTGAAGGCAGGGAAGGAGGAAGGCTCTGGCTATGACGTCACAGGATTAACCCTCTCAGCGCCCGGCCAGTTGCCGCCCCCAAAGGGGTAGAAGACTCGAAGCTGACTGGTTCTGCCGGGGATGAGTCCCCGGTAGAACCTGGGAGTGGACGCTTGGGTCGGTTGATAGCCCCCACCGGGCGTTTGATCGTCCCGGGACAGCCACCGCACGTCGCGTGGATGTCCTTGACATCAACGTGTGGGTGAGCGTCGAGTACGGGTTCTGGTGACCGTGTCATGCGTGCGCTTACTACATAAGAAACCACCAGCGTATTTGTGCGCAAGGGGTGTGATGTGATCTGCCTCTTCTGCAGCAAGTGACCTGGGTCGGGGGCGGAGAGCTGGGTGCACACTGCCACTCGGCGGCGGCCGGGAGCATGGCATCCCAAAGATAAAAGTTTATCAGGACTTAGATTTACTACCTACTGCTTTACTCCATTTTCAGGTAGCCCTGACCTGGAGATTGAGTCCATACTGGCTTGCATCTCCAAGAATATCCTCTCTGGATACCTCTGTACTTTCGATTTCGCAATTCCTCCCTCCAGGAATGACCATCCTCGTTCTTCTCCTGGCTTACTCTTAAGCCTTCCAAAACTCTGCTCCAATGTCCCATCTGCAGAACCCTTGATCTCAAGACCTGATTGCCGTTTTATCCCCACGGTCTGGTAAGTGAAAGGCTGAATAGATTTACTCGAATCTGCGGGGCCTGGGTTCAGCTGACTACGCGGTTTCCACCAGGGGGCGCAAGAGACAGCTTCATTTCACGACGTCCACCAGGGGGCGCTTTCTCCCGCCTCTGGCCGTCCGGGACTGGGGAGCCAACCCGCGGATTCGCCCCGCCTGATCTGGAGAGGCACCACTAAACTATTTGCGTAATCTTGAAAGGGCCGCGCTGAGTGGTTATGGTATAGAAGAGATTTGAAACGGATTCTCTGATTGGCGTAAATTTTCCCTCTTGCCTCTCGTCCCCATCCCTGCCCGGAGGTCGGTAGGAAGCCTCCGACTAGTGACGAGAGGGAACCTAGGTGTCCGGGCCGTGGGCCCTGAGGGTGAGTGCCGAGCGCCGAGAGGCTGAGCCGGGGTATGGGAGGCTGGGGTGGGAGATTGCTCGCCCCACCCTGACTCCTCTCGGCTTGCCGGTTCGCCTGTCTAGGAGTTGAAGATGTGCATCTAGAGACACCGAGACCCTTGCCACCTGACCCACACATCGAGGCTCTCTCTGCCACCCTGGTCACACCCACGCTGTCTTGGGGTAGGAAAAGGAGCCTCTTCAGTCGCAGCTTCTGACCTCCCGGGGCTTCTCACTCAGGCCTCTAAAGAGCTTAGTTTGCCCCTCTGGAAAATGGACCAGTGGCTTACAGAGGCGTGTGCCAGGGAGGGGGGTGGAGGAACCTGGAAACTGCTCACCCACAGCCTCGTTCTTGCAGAGTCGCCCATAAGTAGGGCCCCAGGGCTGGAGATGGGTACCGAAAATGAAAGTCCGGAACCGGACTGTCAGAAACAGTTCCAGGCCGCCGTCAGCGTCATTCAGAACCTGCCTAAGGACGGTGAGGTCACAGGGACCCACATTTGGGGACCAGAGGACCAGGGTCTGCTTCCCAGGCAGCTTCTGATCCTGGCAGCTTTTGCAGACAAGCCCCTGCATGTGTTGTCCTGGGGTTCCCCTCTGCCACCTGCCCCTGTCTATCTTTCCTTAGTGAGACCCTTGACCATCTCTGCCCCCACCAGGGGAGACCCTTCACCACCCCGCCAAGGGTGGTTCTCCCGCCTCTGTCCTCCTGGAGCTGGGAGTGATACTGTCCTCCTCCGCTTCTCAACTCCTGCCCAGGCTCCTACCGCCCCTCCTACGAAGAGATGCTGCGGTTCTACAGCTACTACAAGCAGGCCACCATGGGGCCCTGCCTCATCCCCCAGCCTGGGTTCTGGGACCCTATCGGACGTTACAAATGGTGAGCTTCCCATCAGCTGGGCAAACAAGCCTCAGCTGTCAATCAGCCTTTCACAGCCCTCCGCCCCACCCCCCACCCCCATCCCCAGGGAAGCCTGGAACAGCCTGGGCCAGATGAGCAGGGAGGAGGCCATGTCCGCCTACATTACCGAGATGAAGCTTGTGGCACAGAAGGTAGGGAGAGGCTGCAGGCTCCTCCCTGTGCCCAGGCTCTCAGCCAGGTGACCTGCACCCCCTTCCCCCATTATGTTTCCTGCACGCTGATACATCTATGTAATTCCACCTTCATGTTGTTCCCCTGCCCCTGCTTGGCTCTGGTCCGACTGGGCAAGGTGGAGGGATATGATGGCAGCAGCAGGGCGGGGGTGGCCCAGCTCAAGGGGGTAGGAGGGCAGTGGTGTGAGGGGCAAGCCTTTCCCCATTAGACCCCCTCCCGCACAGGTGATCGACACAGTGCCCCTGGGCGAGGTGGCAGAGGACGTGTTTGGTTACTTCGAGCCCCTGTATCAGGTGATCCCTGACATGCCGAGGCCCCCAGAGACGTTCCTGAGAAGGGTCACAGGTCAGGCCCCCAGGCTGGGAGCTCCACAAAGATTGATGGAACTGTCTTAGGGGGCTGCTCAACTGGAGGGGAGCCTGGAGGCAGAGGGCTCTAGAGATGTTCCTGTAAGGACCCCAGGTAGTGCCCCGTTGGGGTGGGTCTCAGACAGAGTCCCTGGCTAAATGGGGAAGGGGAGCAGGGGCCTGATCTCTTCCCAGCCCCACCTCTGGGTGCTGTGTCTCCACAGGTTGGAAAGAGCAGGTACTGAATGGAGATGCTGAGGCCGCCCCAGAGCCTCGCTGCCTCCCCAAGGAACCAGCACCCCCAAGCCCAGGTTAGTGTCTGGGTGGGAAGGGCAGAGGGCCAGGCCAGAGGTGGGAGGCAGCGTGGAGGGGAGCAGGCTAGATGCCGCGCTGTGCCTGTCACACCTCATGCCCACAGACACTGAGACCCCTATGCTCCCAAAGGCCAGAGGCAGGTTCTGGGATCCCTGTCCTCTCAGGGACCCATCGGTGCCTCTTGTGGTAGCATCTTAAGGGTCCCCTGAACAGGTGCCTCTGCCCAGGTGCACACCCTTCCTCTCCTTTCATGGCTTCCCTCCTGCCACTCGCCCTACTTCCCTCCTCCTCAGAGTCCCAGCCACCCAGGGACCAGGACTCTGAGGTTTTCTGTGATTCTGTGGAGCAGCTGGAGCCTGAACTGGTGAGACCCACTCCCATCCCCTCCCTCTCCCCACCCCACTGGGCCCTGGCTGCTCCCACCACCACCCTCCCCTCCGTGGACCTTGTGACTCTTCTCTGCAGGTTGGGGAAGAGCAAAGGGGCGCCGTGGGAGGAGAAATTGACACCAGAAACAGCCCCGAGCCTCCTGCAGAGAGAGGTGAGCCTCTATCTGACCCTTTGCCCCATGGTTCCAGTGCCTGGGGCCTTCCCCTGGCTGCCTTCATGGGCAGAGGTGAAAGTCCAGCGCTGGGCACTAGAGAGCGCAGCCTCTGCCTGGGAAGGGTTGCCAAAAGCCAGACACTGGCCTGGAGGAACAAAGTCCCTGCCTGGCTTCTTCTCCAAGGGCCACCAGGAGTCTCCGTGCCCTTGGCTGGCACTGAGTCAGGGCAGCTGGGGTAGAACTCCTAGACCAGTTCCCTCATCTACACCTGCGTGGCCTTGGGAGTCATCCTCTCTCTCGGGGTCTCTCATTTGGGACTCTCCAAGGACGACGAGCTGAGTTCTGCCTTATCTCTTCCTAGAACTTCCAGTGTGCCGCGTCCCGTTAGAGGCACTTTCATAAATATTATCTCCTTCATTCTTCAGAGCTAGCAGCCCTGTGAGGGAGAGGACATGATTTTCAGATGACAGACAAGGCTTAGAGAAGTTACTGACTTGCCCAGAGCCACAGAGCTAAGTGGTAGTGCTGGGGTTCGAACTCCTGGCAGTCCATTAGCTGTATGCATGGACTTTGTAAGACTCATACTGGGCACAAGGGATGGCATTCTACTGACTCCTCCCTGGCCCTGCCCCAGCCTGCCTCCACCCTGCGCCGAGCTGAGTTGCCTCCTGCATCCCCTCCCTGTGCGTCTGTACTCTGCAGGGAGATTGGAAGGCCCTCTGCTGGGGCCCCAGGAATTGGACTCGTGGCTGGTGGGGACGGTCCGTGCGCTGCAGGAGAGCATGCGGGACGTCCAGGGGAGGCTGCAGAGCCTGGAGAGCATGGCTGTGCCCCCCGAGCAGGTGAGCCCCCTCCGAAGGTCCAGGGCAAGATTGGGGCAGAATTTTGAGGGTCTCTATGCTGGACTCCTCGGCCAGCCACTTCTGTCTTTGTCCCCCCATCTCTACCTGCCCACAATTCTGCCTTCTCCAGAGAATGGTGTGGCTTATGGGTCAGGCCAAGAAGTCAGGGGATCTAAAGTGCTTCCAACCTGGAAGGGAGAGTGGGAGAAGCCCTCCTTTCCTGCTCTTACACCCACCCCGTGCCAGAAGGGAAACTGAGGACAGAGGGTATTCCAACAGTTGGAGGGGCTAGAACCTGTCTGCTCTTTCCATTGGGGCTGGGAGGAGGTCCCTATTGCCCCTCCATCAGGACTTCTGTTCCCAGACTTACTGTCTTCCCCTCACCTCACATTCAGCCCTTGCACCCCTCACTCCCTCCTCCCGACTTGTAGATCTGCTTGCCCCTGACACCTCTGCTTCTGCAAAATAAATAAGAGCAGCCATTTCTGGAGCCCCACTGTGTGCCAAACTTGTTACCTGCATTACCTCACTTTATCCACACACACACACACACACACACACACACCAATGAAATAGGTTTTCTTTTCATTCCCCTTTTACAAATGAGGAAACTAAAGCTCTGAGAGGTTGAATAACTTACCTCAGGGCCTGGAAGTAACTCACACAGCCTGGAAGAACCCCACAGAGCTGCTGTGAGGATTCAATGAGATAATGCATGTAGGTGCTTCCAAATGGGGCTCATTGTTACGATTAGCATTATTATTAAGTGATGGAGCTGGGAGTGGTCCCACTTGTATCTCCCTCCAAAGCTGGCATCCACCATTAACTCTGAATGAGTCTGTTCTTGTGAAGCCTGGAGCTGTGGGGGCAGGGGATGGCTAAAGTCCTGGATATGGAGGAATCACTCAGGTGACCCTTTGTCCCCTTGGCACACAGGAATTCATAGGAATTTCCTCAGATCCACAGTGGCTAACATTTCAACACTCACCCCTGCCTCGCTGAGGTTTTACTAATATTTTTTGTTTACCTTTTACTAATTTTATATGCTGAATATTTCCACCCTGAGATACCTGGATTTACATCTCTGAAAATAAGAACACTGTACTACCTAGAAAAACATTTTATCGCACACCACAATTCCTTCGTATCATCAAAAACACAAAATGAAGTTGCTCAGTCCTGTCCAACTCTTTACGACCCCACGGACTGTACCCTACCAGGCTCCTCCATCCATGGGATTTTCCAGGCAAGAATACTGGAGTGGGTTGCCATTTCCTTCTCCAGGAGATCTTCCCAACCCAGCGGTCGAACCCAGGTGTCCTGCATTGTAGGCAGACACTTTACCATCTGAGCCAACAGTCAAATACACAGTCCAGATTCAAATCGCCTTTTCCAGCTTCCCTGTCTGTCCAGGCCAGGAGCCTCTGTCCTTAAGACTCTGTTAGTCTAGACAAGTCCCTCTTTCTTGCTACTGACTTGCTGATGAGACTGGACAGTAGTCCTGTAGACTGTAATACTTCTGGAGTCTCACAACAGCCCTGTGGCTAGATTACATGACCAGATTACATCAGAGGTGATATTCTTTCTTCACATCAAAAGACACAGAACTGGATGTCCTACCATGAATATTCCTAGTGAGGATCACAGCAGGGATGAAGGGGTGACAGTCTGATTCCACCACTTGGAGCCAGGGAATGTCCCAGTACCCCGTCAGCCCTATTTGACACACAGCTTTTGATAAGTGATAGATAATCCTTGCTTGGATCAATAATTTAGTTAATGGTTTAAAAAATGTGGACTTTTCTATGATTCTTTAACATTTATTAGCCGGCATTTTTCTGTAGAGTTTCCCTGACCATCTAGGATTTCCCTGAAATATGGTGAATTATGGCAGGACAGAATAAGTGCCTAATTCTTTCTCTTTAATTATCTATTTTTAAAGTAAGGAGTTGATTTAACAGCCACCTCAATGGTGATAAATTTCCAACTTACTCTTTTATGAATTTATGGACTTTAAAGACTCAGTATTTCAGTCAACTGCAATCATTCTTTCTGATGCCCAGACTGTCACAGTTTTGGTAAGACCCTCCCTTTCTAGCTGGGTCCTATGTTCTTGTAATATAATCTCATTAATCCTTAACAGCTTCCTTACTTCCTGGTATAAGACATCCCACATTCAATTCCACCTTCCCTGCTCCACCTGAAATCTGCCACTTCTCCAAGGAGCCTTGCTTCCTTTCAACAGATAATGGGATTTAGAAACTAAAATCTGAACACCCTGGGTCTTCATTGGAAATGTGGCACACCCTTTACGATATGGGGTCTTGAGGCCCTTTCAGGCTTTGTGGCCCAGAGGAGATGACCTCCGAGTCAGTTCCTCCACTCTTTTTGGCACCTTGAATTGCCCTGGTAGGAAGATAGGGGAGGCAGTTAGGGCTCAATGTTTCAGGGACAAACTGGGAGCCCCAATCTTCAGACTGGGGAGAGGGAGGTAGCAGCTCCCACTTGAGTTCTGGGAGCAGGTCCCTAAGGAGGGCCTAGCCTGAGCTGAGGCCTGGGCTGGTGCCTGACTCTCTCCTCTTGGCAGCAGATGCCCCCACCCAGTGCCAGGCCTTGGCCCCTCAGGCTTTCCAGCCCCACGCTGATCTTCTTCCTCCTGTGGCCCTTCATCGTCCAGTGGCTCTTCCGACAGTTTCGGACCCAGAAGAGATGACTCTCGATGGAGGAGTCTGTAGCCAACAGGAGGCTATGAGCCCTGTGTTCTGCTGTGCCGAGCCTTCCTAGGGTTTAGTAGAGCAGCATTAACCCCCGTTCTCACCCTGCTTCCCACCCCAAATAGTGTTCGCCTTGACACCCCTCTCTAAGACCCTTCTCTTTCTGCAGCTCCACAGGGACTGTCCCTCCTGTCCCCCTCGACCGCCTCAGGCTCCCTGGGCAGACTGCCCTTGTGGAGCAAGTCCCAGTTCGGGGTGGGAGGGTGATCCAGGGGCAGAACTACCGGGTCTCAGCTTCTGCCCTTCCCACCCTCTGAGTCACCTGACTCCTCTCCCAACCCAGCCTCTCCCCGAGAGGCTCAGCTCTTGGGCAAGTTGGGACTTTGGCCGGGCCCTGGAAGAGTGATTGGCTGGCGGGCTGTGGGAGGGAGGCCAGGAGGCTCGACCGAGTTGGGGAAAGGCGGAGGGAGCTGGCACCGGGGGAGGGCAGTCAGCTCCTTTTGGCTGGCCTCCCTATCCACAGAAATACTCAGGACGTCCTCACTAAAGATGCACTTACAAAAGAGTGTTTCACTAAATAAAATAAAACGTTCATCTTTTGCCGTCTGGGCTGTCACGGAGTGAGGCGGAAAGCGCATCCGGGACGCGCGAGGTTCGGGTCCCTTCTGTGGCCGCTCCCCTGCTGCCGTGGACAACCTCGAGACGCCAGCGGTCTGCGTTCCAGAGGGAGCATTTCCCCCCTCCCGGGACTAGTGGAGGGAACACAGCCCCGGGTCTGCACGGGGGGCGGAGAGGGTGCTGGGGGCGCCCTGGGCGAGGCCCCCAGCAGCCGCTGGGGTGGGGCCACGGTCAGAGCCCCGCCCCCTGCCCTGTCGTGAGTCGGGATCGCGCGGGGGAAAGCTGCGAGCTAGGGGCGGCGGGAGAAGAGTCCGGCGGGCTCGGGCCCAGGCTCCATTCCCGCCCGAAGGGAAGGGCGGCCACTCCCTGCTCCGCGCGCCCGGCGTAGGGTCGGGGGCCGAGATCCGGGCCCCGGAAGTGCCCGTTGCCCGCTTCCCCCTCCTCAGCTGCTCTCTCCCTGTGACCTCTGCGGTCTGGCTTTTCCAGGGAACTTTCTGGAAGGCCAAAGACGGCGGGAGCGTCGTCCCCGCGGCCCCCGTCGGGGTGGGTCCAGTGCCAAACTGAGCAGAGACCTCTGGGAGCCGCTAGCTGCTGCAAGCTGTTGGGGCCACGAAATCTTGAGTTAATCCCTGTGTTAAGGATGAAGAACTGGAGGGCAATGGAAGAGGGGCCAAACTGGTGCTGGGGATGCAAGCGCAAGCCAGCGCCACCATTTGCGCATACTAGCAGTGTGACTTGGGCAGGATTCTTTGCTCATCCTGGGTGCCTTGATTGTGAAATAGCGATGAAGACATTTTCACCATAAGGCAGTCCTGGGGATTAATGACCAGGACATTAATGACAAAATGCCTAGCTAATATCAACGTGTGTGGCCTCTTGTTTCATAGAATTCTGGAATTCCACAACCTGTCAAGTCTGACCACTCCTCCCACCCCCAATAGAACAAATGTGCCCATACAGCTGAACCAGGTTCAACAGACTGAGGCTGGGCTCAGTTGTACCTTCCAAATCCCCTGACTGAGGGTACCCAGGAGTCCTCTGGAGTCTGAAAATGTAGTAATTTGGAGGTCTCTGACTCCCAGTCGAGTTCTCTCCCAAAACTTTTCCTCAGGGAGCTCCAATGGAAGACTCAGTGCTTCCATTTTTGAGGAGAAGCTCTTGCTCCTGCGAAGCTTCTTGCATGACTGATGAAGCAGCACATTTGAGGGGCAGGCTTTTCAGAAAGACCCGAGTTCTCAGGGAAAACAGGCTAGGATGTTCGTCTCCAAACATCTGGATGTGCCTCAGGGTCACTCTTGCTTGCCTCTCCCTCTGGGCATGCCCATGACCGCTTCCCCACAAAACCACTCCTGAATCCCCAGACAAGTCCTGTCTTGGGACAAGACACCTACTCGTCATATAATGTCCTGCTTCATGCCACTCTGCCTGAAGATGCTTCATGTTTTAGGCAGCCACGAAGTCACCTCCTCCATGAAACCTGTCCACAATTCTCAACTCCTAAGCAACTTGGCTCACAAGCTCCTGCCAGGATTTTCATCACCTGCCATTTTGGCTTACCGTAGGTTTGATGGCCTCTCTACACAGTCCTTGAATAGCACGGATGAAATTTTATTCATCATTGTGCCTTCTTATCCAATGTGAGATTAACCTGACAGGCCACTGGTTAAGACTCAGTGCTTCCATTGTAGGGAGCCTGGTTCTTTCCTTAGTGGGGGAACTAAGATCCCACATGTCTCCAGGTGAGGCAAAAAAAAGAGAGAGAGAAGGAAAGAGAAAGAAGGGCCAGAGATTGGCGGAAAGTGTTGCAGATGGAAAGGAACTAAATCCAGAGTTCTTACAGAAAAAGGAATTTTGTGTTTGTTATAGAAAAACAGCATGGGGTTAGAGAGACCTTCGCTTTAGCCGAAAGTGTCACTTAATTGTCATGTGACCTTGGACAAGTCACTGAATTTCTGAGCTTTAGAGATTTCTTATCTCTAAAATGGAGACAAGAATCGCTACCCTGCCTAACTCACTGGGCTGTGGAGGGGCACATGGTTCTGTGTGCAAAGGAACACTGCGGTGGAAGGCGGTTGGACTATAAGACAGGGCTGTTGACTAAGAAACAGAAGAGTCACGGTGTGTGGCAAATGGGAAAACCTGAGATTACAGGAAGATTTTCAGTTCAGTTCGGTCACTCAGTAGTGTCTGACTCTTTGCGACCCCATGGACTGCAGCATTTAAGATTTTAGGCCTAAGTGATATGAGTCGAGGGTTTCTGCTACTGCTGACCCTCAGCCCCTGTCCTTTGAGTGGAAGCCTGGAATCTAGAGAATTTTCACAAGCAGAGTTATGTCGCAAGCCGCTCTCCACGCCCACCCCGCCCCCCCCCCCCCCCCCATGAGTCTGTCCCACAGTTCTGGGCCAGAATCCCTCTGCCCTCATTTCTGGACAAGGTTTCCTCGGGGGAGCCTCTGGCTGATTCCCTGCCGGTGTTGCCCAGCGTCCACTGACGAGGAGGAGCCTCAGTGGATGAGTCTTTCCAGTCTGTGGCTTCTCTCTCGAGTAGCCGGGGTTAATTATTTCAACTCAGTATTAATTTCGAACCCCTCCCCCAACAAAGAGGCTCATCCGCTGCCCTGGACTCCCATCCAGGCTCAGGAAAATTTCATGGTCGAAATGAACAGACCAAGACGGCCCCAGGAGGCCATTTTCTTCGATAGAAGCTGAGGCCTGGGGAGGGAGAAGGGAAGCGAGGCCTTACATCCCGGGATCTCGGGGGATCCCAGGGCGCACACCTAGCACTTCCCAGCGCCGGCGAGAGAAATCAGCCACGGCCCACCATTTTGCACCAGCCCCTGGGCGGGGGCGGCCGTGAAAAATTACGCTGGGGCTGAGACTCCGCCACTTTCCGCTAAGGGTCCCAGGGTAGTCCGGAGGTGGACGTCACCCGGGACTCGAACCTGCTTTCTCATCTTCCGAGGCCTAGTTGGAGGTTGCTGCCGTAAAGCAGTCACACTGTCCCTTTAAGGCGGCACTTTTTATTCTTCATGTTTACCTCTTCATGCGCTTTTTTTAAACAAAAAATGTGTTCACAATATCCTTCCGCAAACGTCAATCCCAGTCACTAATCAACACCTTGAAGCCATTCTTGTAATCTTAAGAATCGAGAATTAGTCGCCATGGGCCAACGTCTCTCTTTACAGAATTAAATACTCGTTTACACTTTAGGGACTACTTTTTAGGAGTAAACCATTCTCGTTTAAGTTAAAAAATGTTTGTGATCTTAAGAACCTTTCCACTGAGAACAGAATAGGATAATAACCTTTAAGAAGCACCTTTTCATAAAAATATTCTGTGTAGGCCCTCACAGGCCATCGAATCTTCTTGTATTCCTGAAGCAGAATGGTATGGTCCAGAACCCGCCCCATCTTCTCTGCGATTGGCCTTCCTTCCTCGGCGAGACGTGTGCCTTTTGACCAATGGGCGCTCACGTTTCTCTAGCGAGGGCTAAGCGATGGAAGGAGGTGGCCTGGAAAACGCCCCCTACGCGTCCGGGGATTGGCTACGTCGCACGGCGCGCGAGGACGGCGGGCCTGAAAGATGAGAACTACGACTCCCAGCTTCCTGCGATGGGGACTCCGTCACGCATGCGCATGGGCGGGGCGGACCGGCTTCTATATAAAAGGGACGCAGAGGGCTGGGAGGCAGCAGTTGGAAGTTGGCAGGTGGAGAGGCAGGTTGGGAGGGGAAGTTGGGGGAGGAGGCGGAAGAGGAGCTGTCGGAAGGGGGAGGAGGGAGGGAGGAAAAAGAGGAGGAGGCGGAGGAGAACTGAGCTGAGCAGAGCATCGAGCCAAAGGGGAGATGAGTTTGTCTGTCCTCGGCTGAGGCTCCGGCCGGGCCTAGGGAACGGGGAGCTCGGCTTGGAGCGACACCCGTGGAAGTGGGAGGAGGTGGCTTTGGGACTTTAACCCCTTGTGGGCTCTGCGGCAGGGGATTTAACCCTTTGTGGATCCGGCCCCTCGGAGTCAGCGTCATCGGGTAGTTTTAACCCCTTCGGGGCTGGGTTTAACCCATTGGATTTAACCTAATCTTCTTGCCCACCAACTTCTCGATCGCGGGGGCGGTCTGCAGGAAGGCTTGAAGCCCACCCCGTCTGCACATTACGTACTGTTCCTGCTGCTGCTCCCCCTTGGACCCGCTATCTGGTCGCGCTCTGGGCGCTTAACCCTTTACTGACTTGAGCGCCCCCAAATTGCAATTGGAGTTTGCTGACAGGACTGGCTAAAGGCATCACTGCAGGAATTACAGACCGAAGAGGACTGTGTTGGACATTTTTGCAAAGAAAAGCAAACCTTTCTTTCCTTAAGGACTTACAGCCAACATTCTTCAAACTTCGAGAAGAAGATTCTATTAGCAATGGCCGAGCCACTCTTGTCAGAGTATCAGCACCAGCCTCAAACTAGCAACTGTACAGGTGCTGTTGCTGTCCATGAAGAACGGAACCCTGATCGCCCCCCAGGCGCGGAGGAACGGGTGCCGGAGGAAGACAGTAGGTGGCAATCGAGAGCGTCCCCCCAGTCGGGTGGCTCTCCGGGGCACGGGGGGGAAGGGAGCCTGGAACCCCAGCCGTCTCCTCTGAAAACCCAGGTCTGCCCAGAATCCAGCTGTCCGGAAGCGGGTGAGAAGGGCCAGAATGGGGACGACTTGTCCGCTGGCGGAGCTCCCCCGCAGCAGAGACAGGTGGGCAAGAAAAAACATAGGAGACGCCCCTCCAAGAAGAAGCGGCTTTGGAAACCGTACTATACGCTGACCTGGGAGGAGAAGAAAAAGTTCGATGAGAAACAGAGCCTGCGAGCTTCGAGGATTCGAGCCGAGATGTTCGCCAAGGGTCAGCCAGTTGCTCCCTATAACACCACGCAGTTCCTCATGGATGACCACGACCAGGAGGAACCTGATCTTAAAACCGGCCTCTACCCCAAACGGGCCGCTGCCAAGTCCGACGACACCAGCGATGAGGACTTTATGGAAGAAGCGGGTGAGGAGGATGGGGGCAGCGACGGGATGGGAGGAGACGGCAGCGAGTTTCTGCAGCGGGACTTCTCGGAGACCTATGAGCGGTACCACGCGGAGAGCCTGCAGAACATGAGCAAGCAGGAGCTCATCAAAGAGTACCTAGAGCTGGAGAAGTGCCTCTCGCGTATGGAGGACGAGAATAATCGGCTGCGGCTGGAAAGCCAGCGGCTGGACAGCCAGCGGCTGGACGGCGACGACGCGCGCGTGCGGGAGCTGGAGCTGGAGCTGGACCGGCTGCGCGCGGAGAACCTCCAGCTGCTGACGGAGAACGAACTGCACCGGCAGCAGGAGCGGGCGCCGCTGTCCAACTTTGGAGACTAGACTGAAACTTTCCCGGGGGAGGGGGCAAAGGGGACTTTTTACAGTGATGGAATGTACCATTATATACACGTGTATATAAGACAGCGGGCCTTTTTATGACACATAATCCGAAAAGAAATCCCCCCTGGCTTTGGTTGGTTCGGTCAGTTTATCTATGATGTAGCTTGTGTGCTTTCTCCTGTTCTTTAATTATGTGAAACTGAAGGGTTGCTTTCCTTGTTTTCCTTTTAGGAGTTTTCTTTTTTAATGTGTAAGTAACTTGACCAGGTTATAATGCAGTTTTCTGTTAAAAATCTCCTTAAATGGAGCTATAAGGTGGCCAAATCTGAGAACCATTAAATTCATTCTAGTTATAATAAATATTTGTAAATGTAACATAGTTTGTGTGATTTCTAGAGCTAATTCAAAGTAATACTGATTTATGTGATTGCATTGGGGGGAGGGGTAAAGGAAGCATTTAATTTGTCCGTTTTCAAAACAAACCTTAATGGGAGAATTTTCAGTTTGCCCAGTTTTCCCTTGAATGGGTTTTAGTGTGCTACAATATACAGTTCCAGCAAAATATAAAGATTTAATTATCTTCAATACTTAAGTGTGTTATTTTCTAGTGCCTTCATTTTCTTACTTGATGCTGGAGAAATAAACCAGCGTTGGGTGTTTGGGGAGTAGGAAGTAACTATGATCAGCAGCTTAAAATTTAATTCTGCTTCTCAATAGCCACTCAAAAGTCTATTAACAAAAATGTAAACCTAATTTGGCCATTTGTCAGGTTGGACAACTGACAGCCTCATTTCACTCCTACAAGTGGGCTTTTAGTAATTTCCCCCACCTCCTCCCAGTAAGGCTGGAAGGAGTTCTTGGATGCCTGGATGCCTCGGAAAGGCACTTATCTTGCTTTCTTAGTGCAAGCAATGGTTGAATAAACAGTTGTGAGGCAGCTCTTTATGTTAAAATATTCAGAGGTAGGGAATATTGTATTTATAGAGGAAATGACCATCTGGGGCATTCCAAGGACTTAACCCTAAATGCCCAATACTTAAGTGCTCCCTATACCAAAAAAAGGAATAGGAGCTGTCCACCTTCCCATGAGACTCAAACTAAAATTAGAAATGCCCCCTCACTGCAAATAAAATGTAAAGCTTCTGGTTGAGCGAAGTTAAGTCCTTGGGGGGCCAAGTGGGAGCCCTGCACCATCCCTATACAGCCTCTATTCTCAGTCTTATAAACTGTGCTGATAGCTGCTTAGTCCTTGAGTAGTTCTACTCTGCAAAGTGCAGGAGGCCCTAGGAATTCCTTTCTGCCCACAAGTCAAAATAGAAACTCTTAAGACTGTTCCCTCCTGTTATCATGATTACCCAGCCCATCTTCACCTGCCCGCTGTGTTCCCCTAGACCAAATGCATTGCTCAAATCACTAGCACAAGGCTTCTTTCACCTGGTTCCTTAGAAACACAGGGGGCCTTGGGGTCCGTGAGCCACATGGAATTGTATGTAGACTTGTATTATGTGTAGGTACTTCTGGATAGAGGGTTCTAGAGAATCAATTTTCTCAAACTCCTCGAAGGAGAGAGGGTTCTAGAGAGTCGAAATTCTCAAATTCCTTGAAGGTTTGGGGGAAAAACTCCCGTTGGGAAGCTTGCTTTTGCAACTAAATGAAATAGTGGAGGTGGTGGGAACTTCAAGAGTGAAATGTGCCTTATGATGCATGAGAAGCATACACAAATCCATGAATTAAGGGAAATTATGGTGGTTAAGACTGATTCAGGGCCTTCAAAGCTGGACTGAGGTGGCCCTATTCTGGCAGATGGTCCACTGGAGACAATGTATGATCAGCTTTTCCTTTGGCCTAAGAACTACATTAAAAGTCTATTTTGAAATAGTTTTCGTGTTTTTAATTTTCCTTCTGCCATGACGTCATACAGGAGTCCCAGAAACGGCTGCTTGGGAAAGCAGCAACACTGCCCTCTGGCTTTACAGTGCACAAGCAGGAGCCTCATTCTGACTGCACTACAAGGGATGCAGCAGTGATGGCCTCTTGATTTCAGAACCTCTTCTTAATAAGATGGGTTTAAGTATAAAGATCTTGTTTTCCTATTATTCTTAGAAAGATTTGTAGTGCATCAGGAAAAAAAAAATGTGTTAAGTTTTAGGAGACAAATTCAATCCAGTCTCTAAATTATACATATTTAAAGTAATTGTCATAATTTACTTTGATTTACCTTGAGATATGCAACTCTGAATTTTGCTTTCAAAAGCACCTGCATTTTATTGTATTTAATGTCCCTGGGTTGGGAAGATCCCCTGGAGAAGGAAATGGCAACCCACTCCAGTATCCTCGCCTGGAAAATCTAATGGACAGAGGAGCCTGGTGGGCTGCAGTCCATGGGGTTGCAAAGAGTCAGGCACAACTGAGCGACTAACACTTACTTAATGTTCTCAGAATGATGTGGTTTGTGAAAAATTTCAATTTTTTTTTTTTAAAATTTCAATTTTCTATCAACACTTTCTAAGTGAAACACTTGACTAGCATGCTGCTGCCAGGGCAGAGGGAAGACTCTGAACTCCCTATACTACCAGGTTCATCACAAATGATCCTCAAGTCCACTCGAGCCATTCACTAAAGGTATTTCTGCTAAACAATTTAAATAAGCTGTTAAAAGATCATGCTTACACATTGGCAATTTTAGTCGTTCTCTTTACTGAGGTCTGGGTATCCAGCAAGGGCAAAGCACTTCCCAAACTTTGGAGACAGCTGGCTGGGCAGCTTAATCCTCCTTTGAGCTAAGGAAAACTTGTCTTGGGCTAGGCTATAACCTAAAGTGGTCCTCAGGAGACAGAGCCCTAATTTCTGCTTGAGTGGGAAAGCCAGGGAGTTTCAGATTGGTTTAGTTCTGAAAAATAGACAAGGTTTTTCTAAAGAGAGGAAACATAAAATTAGACCAGACTAAAGAGTCAAAAATCCAGGTTCCTAGTTCTCCCTTTGATATATACTAACAGTGCAAGCCTTAACACTCTCAGAGCCTCATTCTTCATCAGCAAAAAGGGTCCATGCCTACATTACAGAACTGCTGCAAGGATTAGAGACAGCATGAAAACAGTCTATACAAGAGTAAGGTACCATTGATATTCTTAAGACCAGAGCAATTGCCCACTTGATCAGTATTTTAACTTTCACTTTGTTAAGAGTAAAATAAAACTCCTTTGCTTGGGGAAATGCAAATAAATATACTTTATCCTGGTGAATTCAAAAGAGAAATCAAAGAAATCTACAGAAATAAGCAAAATCCACAACTAAATAGTCTACTTCAGAAAACAAATGTTCAGCCAAATATTTGACAATGTACTATAGGTGTCCCCTGGCCACTTACACCAACAGCTAGAAACAAATATTCATAACAGTATGATGGAAAAGCTGGCGAGAGTAAGAGTCCTATATTTGTACCTATGTACACCTGAGTTTGTGGGTTTTCAAAAATTATTTTACCCATTTCTCAAGCAAGATTGTAATAAAATTCCACTTTACTATCTCTTCTCATGTAAAGTGTAAAGGACTGTTGCTAGAAATGAAAATAATTTCTAAAAGAAAATGTCAAATTCAGGCCCTGAATAGTGGGATCTGCTGACCAAAGGGCAAGTCACACTCTGTAAGACAAAATATATGGTCTAGAAAGTGAAGATTCAATATTTTGCCAATTCCTGCCAGTTGTCTTTGAATGTTGGAAAGCTTACAACGTCATTTCTTGTTGAAAAAACAAAGGCAGATAAATAACATAGCTCTCGCAAATCCTCCTGAATAAAGGTTTTCCTGGGCTTTACTGAGAGGCAATTCAATTATGACAAATGATATAACACTGGTAACAGCAGGGATAATCCAAGTAGTTTACTAAGAAATCTTCACACACCTCGAAATTCTTTCAAATGCTTTCGCTGCTACCAGAAACAGCTGGTGTAGCTCTCCCCTCAGCACAGCACCAGGGACAGTGACAGCTGGCGTGAAATTCCCAAAAAGGACGAAAACTTGAAGAGCACTATAAACTCTCATCTGAAGACACCTTCTATTTGATACATCCACTGACTCTGTGAAGTGTTAAAAAACAACTGTGGGTCAACGGTAAACAAAGATGATATTCCTGAAGGAAAATGTGAGAGCTCTAGAGTGTTCCATGCACAATTTGAGAAAACGATAGCATCACTGCTCTTGTAAGCTACTCAGTAGAACCTGCCCTAGCCTCCAGAGCATCAGAGATTAATTTGAAGTTCTGAAGTCTGCTTTAAGCACGCACTTCTGCATACCTGGATAACCCCAGAACAACTTTCAGGCAAAGGCAGAGGACCAAACTGGAAGATGGAAGGAAATGTCGAAGAGGTCAGTTCTACCTTCTTCTCTAGGGCTTACTAAAAGTGTATTTATTTAAGCAAACATTTTAACTTAAAAAGAGGAGAGAGAGAGAGGAGGATGAGGACTAAACACAAAGTAAAAAAATGTGGAAATCAAATAGTTCAGGAGTAAGAATTTTCATCCTGAACGAGGCTGCTGCAAAGAATCACTATTGTCAACGAATCCTGTTCACACACAGCCAATAGTCCCAGGAGCTAGGCAAACGTAAGCCATTCAGGACTTGAGATAACAACTGCTTGGTACCCTGAGAGGTACCTTGGTACCCTTGCTCTCAACTATTTGGATGGAACATGACAACCCAGGCCACACTTTGGGAAAGCAGCCCTCCCAAATGCTCCAAACCACCTTTGAAGCAGAAGTTCTAAGGTTCCCAAATAACTAAGTTATAACAAGTAGATGTTTACACAGCCTCTCGAGTAGTTATTCAAGGTATTTATGCTGGAGGCTGCATTGATACCAATTTCAAATTAAGAAACTGAGGCACATAAAGTTTGTTGAATTTGTCATAAACCACAAAGCAACTCATCTTTAACAGGAGAGCTGAGAAGGAAGTTGAAGGTCTGGTTGAACATTAGACAAACAATAGACTCAGCAACAAAATG